TAACTATGGTCAGGAGAAAAAATACGGTGGGTCTCTTATGCTTATCAAGCCTGCATTTATTTGATCAAAAATACAGAAAATATTCATACAAAAATACAGAAATATTATTCATATTTAAAACAGGCCTAATAGTTTTCTATTTTAATATACTCTAAAATATATTTTATTTCTGGGATACTTTTTCAGGATTATTTGATGAATAAAAAGTAAAAAAAAAAAAAAAAAAACAGAAAAAAATGCATTATTTAAAATAGAAATATTTACACAGTTCAAAAATTTAGGGTCAGTATTTGTTTAAATAAATTAATACTTTTATTCAGCAATGATATGTTTGATAAAAAGTGATAAAGCAATATTAGAAAATATTTCTATTTTACATGCTGTTCTTTTTAAATTTTTATTCATCAATGAATCTTGAAAAAAAATATCATGGTTCCAAAAAAAAAAAAAAAAAAAAAAAAGCAGCACAACTGTTTTCAACAATGATGGATCATGTGACTGCAGCATGGAGTGATGATGCTGAAAATGCAGCTTTGCATCACAAAAAAAATTATTTAACTATATTTTGAAATATATTGAAATAGAAAACCATCATAATAATATTACTGTTTTTTTCTGTATTTTTGATCAAGTAAATGCAGTCTTGATGAGCATAAGAGACTAACAAAAACATTAAAAATAGTACTTTTCCCAAACTTTTGACCGGCACTGTAAGCCATTTTACACATAAATTATTATTTAAATCAATTCTATTCAAAATGGTTACAATAGTATTCATTTATTAAAAAATATATATATATATAGCTGTGCTCTCACACACGTGATGAGACAAGTCCTCAATGTCTTCTTAGGACATTGGATGAACCAACCTATTTATTTTCATTTTATGTATTTATTTACTGTCATTGTACAGTGATTGTGCAGTATTATTGTTCTGTGAGATTTAGTTCAAACGATACAGCGCAAGTAGGCTACATACAGGACTCACCTGTGAACGGCGGAGGAGGAGACTCAGACTCGGTGTCTTCAGTACACAGCCGCAGTAATTTGTCTTTGATCCAGGGGAAATCTTTCTCTAATGACTGTGTAAAGTGATAGAAGGCGTGCGAGCCGCGAGTGGGCAGAATATCCAGCAGCTTTAACGTCTTTTTCCTATTAGACGGCTCAGACTCAATCTCCTCTAAACAACTCTCCGTTAATATCCCCTCCTGGTATAAATACTGTATGATCATGTCGTCCACTAAAAGCTCCTCGGCCAAAAAAATCCGTTGAGATCGAAGCAGTTTTTTGTGTTTTGGGTCCATATTTGAACCCGATGACCTAGTTTAAAGCCCGAACTATGCTGAATGTTAACCACAGCAACTGACTTAACTACCAAGACATTGCTACAACAACAGGGGGAATAGCGATGAATCCTCGTTAACTTAATTAAATAATTCAATAATTGTTGGCAAATGCACATAAAGTAATGTTTGTGTGTGTATCACAGAAACTTTACAAATTTGCGCTATTATAATGTTTTCTGTATTAGACTACACACTTCCGCGTCATGTGTCGCACTTATTTCTACCGGCTGGAAACGAGGTGCAAAAGGAACTCATTTTAGGCATCTTTATTGTTCCCACATTTGTGTAGGCTATTTCCACACAAATTAGGCTATTGTGCAGAAATTAGGATTACAAACCAAAATAACCTGACAAGCTGTATTTTAACCTAACATAATACAGCTGTTTTCAACCTTTTCAGACCCAGACACTGACAACCAGACCCTCAATTATAATATTTTGTAGGTAATGCATTATAGGTAGGTAGTGCAGTAGGTAATGCATTATAAACGTCAGCAAGCATTAAAGCATTAACAAACGTTATTACATGCTATATTGTTAATGCACCACATTTATTTTATTAAGAAAATCTATGTTTAATATGCACTTTACTTTCACAGACTATTTATTTGCTTAGGCCTAATGCTTGCCAACTTAGCATGATTTGATTGTATTTTGTAGAAACAATTAATCTTAAAAACTATTTTTAAAAAATGCTAAACTTTGTATATTATTAAGCTGCCAGTTACTGGCATTTCCCCCTGATTAGGATAGTTCTTTTGAATATATTTCCTTGTCCTCGTAAAATTTTGCCTGAAACGCCAGAGACCATGCCCTAAGCCCTTTTTTTTGCCCATAAAGTGGCTTTAGTTGTTCAAACGCTTGGATCTGATTTTTCAGAGCTACAGTAGTTCCAGGAAGAGCAGATTATTTGAATATCATGGCATTTGTGAGCTGCAAGAAGCTGGATGTAGCCTATAATCCTTCTTGGTAATATTTGCATATGCAATCCTGAGGGTCCATATACCATCATTGCCTTTTGCAGCATGTCCTTTGCGCAAACTGAGCCCTATATTTTTAATTTGTTACATTTATGGTATGGCTCCTTATACAACAGTATAGCTATATAAGGCCTGTCTTACCATCAAGCACATTTTACACTAAGCCTTTTAGCAAGGATTTTCTCTTCAGAGAATCCATTATTTTTGAGGCTTATGGACTTCAAGCTGGAAGTATCCAAAGTGTCGATTAAGGTCATGGATATTTGCAGAAAAAAACGTCATAGTCGCTCACTCAATGTATCAAACATATGATTTTTTTTTTTTTTTCAGTTTAGAATTGATGTATTGAATCTAATGTTTTATTGTTGTATGTTTATATGTTGTATAAACTGTTTCATAATGATTGCCATTTGCTCTGAATAATGTCCTGTATCCTTCTGCTTGTGACGCCTCATCTGCATGAAATTTGAATGAACAGTTTAGATATTATCATGGGCTTGATAATGCCATTATGGTACAAAAGATGTCAGGTGTGCTTTTGCATTGCTTTGCATTAGGCTGTTTTTTTTTTATCAGATGTACAGTACAACATGCCATGTCTTTGAGCTGAAGTCATGTGTATTCTGTGCATGTGTGAGAGATCATAGCACTTGTTCCTGAAGCGACCTTTTAAATTTACTTGACCTCTTGAGCTGTTAAGAAGTTCACCAAGCCAGTGTCAGGTCCGGTCATGTAAGGAGATATGACCTTCAGAATATTCTTCACTTGGTCAGTTCAGGTCCTCTTACATTCAACCACTGACAAATTTCAGGTTAACATGTTTGTGCGTCTTTTTTTTTTAAAAAGTCTTAATATTCCCTGTTGCTGAAGATTTCTTCTGGAATTGCATATAATTTAAGAAACTAATTATAAATATTAAAAACCATATTCATAAAATATAAATGTTAAATGTACCAATGTCATTACACTGGCTCTACCTGTACATAAATACATTTAAGTTCAGTGGGCACAAATAATTATCACAAACAAAAATATCTTATAGTTATACTTTTTTACTTAGAAAAATTACCATGGTAACTAATACTTTGTCAAAATATATTAATAATAAATTAAAGCTCTAATTAATGCTACATTTGATAGGTAACACTTTACAATTACTGAAATTAAATCAGTAACATTATTTCCTCCAACAGTATGGCCAAAAGTGATGCCCTAGGAAAATTGACATATTTTCAGAAATTAACTGATTATGTTGTAGTCAATGTATGCTTTTTCCTGTGGCTTTTTTGTAAAGTAAAATAAAACCCGTAGCTGCAGTTTTACCCCTTTTTTGACAACTAAATTTGTCAGAAAGCTGTATTAAGCATAATATTAAGCATTTAGTACACACACACACACACACACACACACACACACACACACATATATATATATATATATATATAGTAACACTTTACTTGAAGGGGTGTGCACAAGACTGACATGACACCTTCATAATCATGACATGAATATGAAGGAGGTTTTAAGCATGTTTATGACAACTGTCATTAAGTGTCATTCGCTCAATTATGACATGTTTAATGCAAATATGACATTGTTTGAGAGGTCTTTGTTATAACAACTTGACAAACCAATGCAGATTAATTATCAAACTTAAGAAAACACTTAGCTTTATGGGTTAACATTACATTAAACTATCAAGTGGTTGGTTTTGACAATCATGCATGAGGCATTATAACTCTCATGAATATTTTACTTGACCTCAACTACAGTGGTACAAATCGAATTTGTCATTAAAAAGTTATAATGGCCTAATGACAGCCAATGTCAAAACCAACCACATGACAGTTTAATGTAATGTTAACCCATGAAGCTAAATGTTTTCTTAAGTTTGATGTTTATTCTGCCATGTCATGTTTATGAGAGGTTGTGTTGTCTTAGTAATGTCAAGTTGTCATGACAAAGACACTGCAGGTAATGATGTATTGGTTAATCAAGGTGTCATTACCAAGACAATCTTGACATTACCATGTGGTATGTCATGATTATGAAGTCATGTTAGTCTTATGCACACACACCCCTTCAAGTAAAGTGTTGCCATATATTTATATATACTGTATATTATATTATGTTTGAGAATATTTGTCCCTACTTTCCACAGAATCAATGGGAATAGTGATTTCATACAATAAGTGTAAGGTGTTTGTCTAATGTCAAGTTAACTTTGTGTGTGTGTGTGTGTGTGATTTAAAACATTTAGTGTTTTTGTTCCCTAATAATAAATGATACCCACAGCAAATGATGGGTTCTTCAACACATGAATGAATTCATGCTTAGGGGGGTAATGAAAATAAGAACAAAAACTTGGGATTACATCAATCTTCTAACATTCTGAAGCCAACACTTAAATGTGTTTGTGACTGCAGAAACTGTGACGGTGCACTTGTGGGGTCAATTCCATTCAATTTCCATGTAAAATCCAATGAAGTATAGATTACCCGGAAAACAGTGATATCTCCACGTTATCTTTGACTAAACAACTCTTTGTTGTGACAAGGAGAACTCCAGCATTTAGCGTCTCTTTCTTGGGAATGGTGTCAATATTTAACAGAGAAACAGTAACTTTCTTGCGCTGAGCAGTTGCCTCTCGAGGAAACGTCTGTGAATACACAGCCTTTGTACACACAGTTTATTCTAAAAATCCTTGGAAAATATGGAGTGACTCAAAATGTTACTCAGAATTTCCATGCTTTGGTGCAAGCTAAGAAAAGAAGAAGAAAAATAAAACATGGAGGGGACAAGAAAAGCTGTGGAAATGGAAAATGTACAAGGCAAATTGGGACTTAAACTTTCCAAACCAGCTGGCAAAACACTTTCACAGTCAAACACTTGAAAATGTTCACAACTAAACATTTATACATGAAATATTATGAAGTGCTGAAATAAAATGTCAAGATAAAAATAAAATGTACATGCAAACACAATCGGTGATACAAATCCAGGGTGAATCTTTGCTTTAACTTAATTACCAAACAAACAATTTCCAAACAAGAAGACACTTGGATTATCTGTATATTTTCAGTCCATTAAGAACAAGAAGTCTATGTATGTGGGTTTACTGAATGTTTGAGAAGTTGCCAGGATGTGGGTGTGTGACCTTGATGACGAGTGTTATTATCAGTTCTACACATGATTGGCTCATTCAGGGGCAGAAATAAAGGAGTGAATTTGTAAAGGAAAAAAACAAGCACGTTGTTTGTTTTTGCACTGAAATAAAATCATTATATCTCCCAAGCATGTTATTTCAGATGTTACCAAAAAGACAGTCACAGAACAGGAAATAAAGCTATGATTGCTTTTATTTCTCACTTTTTGGGAGATAATCCATTCACTCCTGAGCACAAAGTTGTAAGAAATTGTGTAGTGGCAAAGAGGTCATATCAGACTTATGCATGATTCCCACCCTATACCATGTCCTCCAGGAAGACGACAAATAAAAATGACATTAGTATATTAGATCTGAAATATGTGGGCAGAATGACCATTTATGTTGATCTGAGTTTAGTTTCCTAATGATTCAGGTCAAAATTCAAATGAAAAAAAATTTGGTGTCATTTCTTAACTTAAAAAAAAGAATCAAAATCAAGCCACCAATCATAATCTTTTTCAGAGAATGCTTTTTGGGATAATACGACCCGAATGCTTTAATTGAAATACTAAGTATGGTGAGAAAATGCAGGAAAACACTAATCCAGGTGATTAGGACATTGAGCGCCCCATTCTTCAAGGAATAATATTAGCCTATCGTTAAACTGAAATAGAAAGGAGGTCAGATTAGTATGGAACTTGAAAGGAAAATCCGATTTTTCTTAAAATCTCACCATGAGAAGAAAAGAAAAAGCTTCTGACCTAGTACGCCTTTTTTTTTGGTCTGTGTCAAAAATTATTACACTTCAGTATAAAATCAAATATTCTCCAGATGCGACCAATCAGCATGCAGATTTATTAAGACACCCTCCTGAGACAGGGTTAACACAGGCCAATGCTTGTTGACCATATGCAACAAAAGCAGAACAATCCATGCTGATAAATTAACTCTTGGTTCAGAATGTGCAACAAAATACTTAGCCGGTGGAATATTTCATTTTCAAAAATGCACACGCTTAAAGCCTGGAGAATGGCAAGAACCTGTGTTAGCACGTTTGAACTTTTACATTCCACCTTAAGATTTTTATGTACATTACTTTTCAAAGTTTTGGGGTACATCAGATTTTTGGAAGAAATCTTGTGCATGCGAGGTGCATTTACTTGATCAAAAATACAGTAAAAATGTGTTTCAAATAACTGTTTAAATATATATTAAAACGTTATTTATTCCTGTGATGGCACTCCAGATACTCCAGTATTTAGTGTCACATGATCCAGTGTCAAAAAAGAAATCTTTCTAATATGCGGATTTGCTGCTTCAGAAGCACTTCTTATTATTATGAATGTTGAAAAAAGTTGTGCTGCTTAATATTATTGTCAAACAATAGGCTACATGTTTTCAGGATTCTTTGATGACAAGAAAGTTCAAAAGAACATATTTTGTAACATTATTAATTTCTAATTTCTTTACTCACACTTTGATCAATATATATATATATATTGAACAGTAGTATGTTTTTTAAAAGGGCTATTTTTAAATGTCATTTTCCAGTAGGTATTACATTATCATGATGACACATCAGGATATACAGTATCATATCGCAAGGTACTTGCCAATTCCCAGTTCCTTGGGCAACCATGACATCAAAAGATCATCTATGACTACAGTACAAAAATATAACATGGATAATGAGCAAATAAAACATACTCAAAAAAGCATTCAGTTACAAACTCCCATGTCTCAAACACAGGATACAAAACATCTCAGACAACAATAAGGAATAGTTCACCCAAAAATGAAAATTCTGTAATCATTTACTCACCCTCATGCTGTTCAAAAATCATATAGCTTTCTTTCTTCTGTGGAGCACAAAAAAAAGATACCTCAAATGTCAGTTAACATCCGAGGTTTAACACCATGACGTTCGTGTCGCCAGTTGATATGGTCTGTGTATGCGTGCTTTGAGTTGAATGGATTCATTTCATACTAAAAATAAAAGGTTCTTTAAAACTTTAACACATCAATGGAAGCTTTCCATTGGACAAAAGTTTATAAGTGAAAAAAGGTTTTTGATTCACACTAAGACCAAAATTGTTCTTTTAAGAACTACTCACTGGAAGGTTCTTGGAGAACATAAAAAAAAAGAAAGTTATTTTTAAGAGTGTACCTGTATGTCCTTAATAGTTTTGAGCTTGACAGGTTTGGACCCCATTGATTTTAATATATGGACAAAAACAGCTACAACATTCTTAATATCTCGTTTTGTGTTCCACAGAAGAAAGAAAATCGAGTTTGGAACAACATGCGGTTGAACTGTTCATTTTATTCACTACCACACCTTGACACGTTCTGTACATCTGAGGCAGATTAGAAACCCACGGATTTGGGTGTAGGTAGTGTGCCTCACACGTGCTGCTCACTCGCTCTTTAAAAGAATACCTGCCCACATGATATCCTAAACCTGTACGACTTTTTTTCTTTTGCAGAACAGGGAAGATATTTTGAAAAATGTCTTGATATACAATGACAGTCAATGGAGTGCAGTGTTGTTTTGGTCCCCATTGACTTCTATTGAACAGAATATCTTCTTTTGTGTTCCACAGAAGAAAGAACGTCAAACAACATGGTTTATGTTGGAAGGACATGTGGCTGAGTAATTAATTACATTTCTGGCCGAACTATCACTTTAAAGTAGTCCTTGGGCACAAGGAGAGGGACATGACATTAGCACCCTATTATCACTGGGTCTATGATCCATAGAACCACAGCACTTATGGTCATTGTCGTTCACACGGTTCTATACATTATAGGTGTAGTCTGTCAGGTAATCCTTCAGCCGGTTAGGCAAAGGAAGTTCTTGTACTCGCCGTGTGGTTTTATTGATGGCAATACGACACAGATGCTGCAGAGACGGTGTGGCCGTGTACACGGGCGTCGTGAGCAGCAGCTGCACGGTGCCGTTGAATGGGGCGAGAGGGGTAGTCCTGTCCTTACAAGACGTCCGGGACAGCTGCACGTAGTGCTCCACGAGATGGACGACACTGTCGAACTGCTTGAGTTTGGGCTTGACCAGCACCACGGAGTCCAGCTTGAACTTGCCGTCCTTGTATTCAATACGCAGGTTGGTTGGTCCCGCAGATGTCATGGCGGAGATGGTGAAAAGGTAGTCCCTCTGAGAGCTGTCCCGGACCAGAAAAGTGCCCTCCGACGTGTCCTGCAGGATCTCCTTGGCTTCGTTGGCTGTCAGGCTGCCCCAATACCAGCCTGCTTCCAAGAAAAGAAGACACACAGATGGTCATACGTATCCTGTTCCACAGTATTTGTTTCAGTAGATGGCTTGTGTAATATGGAGAAACATAATGTTTCCCTCAAAGGACACAAAGCCATGACTAATTTGCATCTGATCATGTAGCAAAAACCAAGCAGTACGAAATGAGCTGTTAAATTAACGTTATTTAAAACATTATGGCAACCGTGGCACAGCAAGACTAAACAACACAGCAAATATGTCAACAAAAATGACGTATCTTTCCTGAAATACTGAACTAGACCATCTGACTATTTCATCTTGGGGGGTATATGACATTTTTTACAGGCAGATGCTTGACAGATGTTCCCAAAAAAAAAAACTACTCAAATCGTTTTTCTCAGCAGCAAACAAACATAAAAATGGATCTCGTTGCAGCATCTTAATTACTGAATCTTGCTTTTCTTTTATATACAGAGTGCAGTGCTTGACTAAATTTGTTTGTGCACTTGAAACCAGAAAGGGACACAAGCAATTGAGGGCAAATGTTCTAGCCAGGCCAGGAAACATAACAAAAGCTTCAAAGACATGATAATGTCACTCTTTTGTTGCACAAAAGCAAACAGAAAATGTAAACAGTAAGGCTTTTGTCAGGAAATTCAGTAGTTCCTACTTGCATTGCATTCACTTACATACTTCATATCATTGTCAAAAAAGGGGGGGGGGGGATTCATAAAGTGACAAAAATGCCTTCCGAATTCAGTATGTGGAGGCAAAAAAACACAAACGCAAAAACCTTTGTATTTGTAACATCTGATAGTATAACATCTGATTCTGTCTTGAATTAATTGTATTACACATATTCCCAATCTCCTTATATGAATTAACAAAACCAAAAAACACACTAGATCCAAATTATATCACATAAATTCATAAATAAAGAGAAGTCCCAAAACAACATTTTCAACCATATGAATATTCAAAAAATTAAATCATAGCTGCTTTGAAAACATCAACAAACTCTAAAAAAACGAGCATTAAACATTTGATTGAAATTTTAGAGGGTAATTTAATTTAATTATCACTTTAAATATTCGCTATTTTCACTTTAAACATCACATTTGACGGATTTAAAATTATAAATAGCAGGTTTTTTAATGTAGGCTATAGCCTATGAATCACTGCCTGTGGCTGTGTTTGTACAACATAGTCAGTAGTACAGCACTGGAACAAGTGAAAATATGGAAACGAGCATTAAACGTTTACCAGTGTTTTTAAGGTCTCTCATGGCAGTGGCAATGCGACTCTGTTCGGACTCCGTGACCTGGGTTTCGGTTTGCGATCTGCTTTCATTCTCGATGCTTTCCGTGGAGTCGGATGAGTGACAGGTCATTGGAGAACCGCGTTCTGCATCCAGTCAATGTCTATAATTATCCCTCAAAGACGACTGACTCTTACAATCAACCAAAACATGTGTGAAGTCTTCCAAAACGCTCGTGGACTTTGTTTGGCTGCGCGGATCTGAAAAAACAACAACAACAACAACAACAACAAACAAACATGTTTTAGACGACAGAATGCGTTACATTATTTAAGAAATTAGAATAGTGAGTGTTGTAACAAGTGAGTTGTTTCAAGCTTAGTAAATGAATGTCAAGTAGCCAACAAAGAGTGCTATTGTTACAATCTTCCACCTGTTTGTAACACTATACGTGGTCGTTTTACATTTTTGTGGTAACCAAAAGCCAACTTGTTCAAAATAATTTTGCATGATGCCACATCACCTTCATTTCGTTTTAAACATTAAGGACATTTTTATATATATATAATTTTATAATGTTTACTGGTGCACTTTTAATGTTAGTATGATCATCAAAATTGCCATCATTTAGAAATAAAAGGCCATTTTTGACTCATATTTTAGCCCTTTGTCTGTTTTGAGAATTAAATGCACATTGATATGATTGGCTAACATCTTTGCATGTAAAATAAGTACATGTGGAACTCTCTTGAAGGCTCTTAGCCTACTAAGTTTTTACTATTACAGCTGTCCAGCTAATCGTGATAACTCCCATGACTGATGAAAGGTTGCAGTGATGAGCATTGCAGCCAATGACAGACGTCTGTTGAGCTCATGAATGCAGTGATCTCGTCATTTCCTTATATTCACATTGATTTGATGTAGGCCTAATAAGAAATTCATTGCCCATAATGTTTAAGCGAGAGTCCAGAATTCATAAGTTCATGAATACTTGTCCATAGAGCGAGTGTTTACATTGAAAAACAATGAAAAAGTAGAGTGAAATGGAAAAACGTGTTCTGTGTGAACAGCCCCTTACATCACACTATTTTGTCAATGTAACAAAATCTGAAACATTTTTGGAGCTTGGTTTCAATAACTGCTGTTTTTTGCACTAAAGTTTTGAGTTCTAAAAACAAAATTCTGTCAAAAAAAAATTCTGTCTGAGTTCTTTCAAAAAACAAAATTCTGTCTGAGTTCTGTGAAGAAACAAAATTCTGTCTGAGTTCTGTCAAAAAAATCAAGGAAAATTTGATTTCTCAATTCATGACTCCTTTAAAGGACTAGTTCACTTTAAAAAAAAAAAACAACCTTTGCTGATAATTTACTCACCCCCATGTCATCCAAGATGTCCACGCCTTTCTTTCTTCATTCGAAAAGGTTTTTGCTGAAAACATTCCAGGATTTTCTCCATATAATAGACTTCATTGGGAACCAAACGGTTCAAGGTCCAAATGAGAGTTTCAGTGCAGCTTTAAAGGGCTTTAAACGACTCCAGACGATGAATAAGGGTCTTAACTAGGACTCTTCAAGTCATGACTTGAAAAAAGTTTTGTTCATTTGAACAGGAGAGTCACGAACGCTCTTCACAGAACAGAGCAAGGCGAGCATTTGTGCTTATAAAACTTTTTTTTTTATGAGCGATCGTTTCACTATAGATAAGACCCTTATTCATCGTCTGGAGTCGTTTAAAGCCCTTTAAAGCTGCACTGAAACTCTCATTTGGACCTTGAACCGTTTGGTTCCCAATGAAGTCTATTAGCTATATGGAGAAAATCCTGGAATGTTTTCAGCAAAAACCTTTTCGAATGAAGAAAGAAAGACGTGGACATCTTGGATGACATGGGGGTGAGTAAATTATCCTCAAAAGTTTTTCTTTTTTAAAGTGAACTACTCCTTTACAGTAATTCAACCTCCACAAACATTCAGTAGAATTTCACTAAACACAGACAGTAAGCTGCTAAGTTCAGCACTCACAACAACTATTGTAAGTGTAGCAACAACACTTCTATTTTGTTCAATATTTGTGTCCAGCAGAATGGAAAATGTTTCAACCCTTCCTGTCTATTTAGACATGTTTTATTTATAGTTTTAAGTGAGCCTTGAAAAGCTTGTGTGATGGCTATTAGTTTTATAATATAATATAATATAATATAATATAATATAAGTTATAATATAAAATAACTCTTTCTTCTTACCTCCAAATTGTTTTCGTCCAGTAAATTCTTTATATTAGGCTACAGCCTTACAGCTTCTACTGTCACCTCACTGAGGAGGGTGGTGCTCTCGTTTGATAGCGATTCCACTGTATAGCTCATTTCTAATTGGTTATTTGAAATACACTTATAAAGTGATAAATGAAAGTGGTGGAAAGTTAATGGAGAGTTAATCTCCATTAAATATTACAAAGGTCAGCCACAACTGCTATAATTTTGTTTTGTTTTGTTTTAATTGGATAAATTAACGAAATGACAATCGTCATGAGCTTCATAAACGTTATTATTCCGTCCTTATTGCGAGTGAATGGTTCATTGCGCACGTGCATGCAGGAATAAAAAAAACACAATCTTCCTTTAAGAGACGGCAAATACGCAGAACTGCCTTTCCTAGGAAACTGCATTGACAGCTCCTGGTAAATGATAGTGTGACAAATAAGATAAACGAGAGTATTTGTCTACAAAACGTGTAAATTAAAATACTTCTACATGCGCAAATCCTTTGATGTAGCTGCTCTCTGAGACATAATGAAGCACAAGAGAAATAAAGCAGTTCATATTTGAGTATAAACTTGAGCCCGAAAGGCGACAGTCAGAGAAAGCGCACATCACTTACCTTTTTTTCTAAGTGAAAGCAATAAGCAATTAAGTCCAGCGCGTTTCGCGTTACAGACGTTCAATAGCACCATTATTAAATTAGACCCATCATTTATTAATGGGAAACACTGATCGGTTCACTGTCAGACGACAAGCTCGCCCTGATGCTCAGCGTTCGGGACGCGTTTTTCCTTGTATTCGCATTGATTCTTTGGGCAGCGACACTCCAGTCTGTCTCCAAACGCACCGCGCGTTCAAACGCGTAAAAGCGCGCGCCAGGCGAGCAGGACACAATATAATTACTCTCTCCGGCAGTTTAGCGATATTCCAACGAATCTTTTTTTTTCTGCTTTGTATGAGTGTGTGTGTGTATGTGTGTGCGCTCGTCGTTAACTACTTAATCCTCATTTACTGTAAAATGACTGGTATACAAAAGACTAATTTCCAGGAACTTTCCAGGAATCGTATCACGTGGTCAGAAACGCTAGCGCTCTCTTAAGGTCGTGCCAAATAGCTATATTGTTGTTTTTGTTTATTTGTTTGTTTTAAGATCTGCCAGACACAGATAGGCTATTTATCACAATCCACTTGTTATTTTCATTTTATTTAATTTGATTATGATTATATGCCTTTTGATGCAAAAAATAGTTTTCAATAGGCTATTAATAAGCTTTTTGTAATTTATTTAGACTATAAAAGCAATGGAATACAAGAGATGGGCAATTAAATCGGCTACTGCCATAAAGCCTATTTTTAATTTTATTTTATTTTTTCTATATATTTATTTATTTAAAAAAATCTGTGATGGGCATTTTTTTTTATAGGATTCACTAAAAAGGAATTTACTGTTGCTTTTCGAGATCCGTGATTTAGCGTGACAAGTGCCACCTTAAACCAGGAATTTATTGCCTGTGACAAAACACAATGATAAGAAGCTGTATTTAACCTGTATGTGGTTAAATACAGCCACATTGTGAAAACCAAAAACCATCCACAGCAGATACATAGAGAGATAGATAGATAGAGATAGAGAGAGAGCAGTTTAAAATTCATTAGGCCTGCATTAAGAATGTCTATAAATAAAATTGGCAGAACCTTCCCACATGTGTAACAGGCATTACAATCCCTAAAGACAACAGTGGATTATAGGCTATCTGTCAGGGTTAAGTCAGGTGACTGTTAGGTCCGATGCCTCAGATGAACCTTGCTTGGGCTAGGCTGCTTCTTTCATGCATGGAGACAAATTGTTTGCTTGTTAATTTTAGGGACAAGGTCACGTTAAACCAATTATTTGCACTCTTAAAATGAATGAAATTGCGGCTGAACATCCTCTTCTTTAGATCAAATTAAGAGAACCTGGGAGGAAGATCTTGACAGACCAATCTCAGATGGGAATGTGTTCTTGCGTATTCAATTTGAAATTATTTTAAGTACACATAACAAGACTCATATGTCAAAAGTTAAATTAGCTCAAATCTACCCTGGAATTGGCCCCACAATAGATGTCAATGTTCACAGGATCTGGACATGATTTTAAGGCTCTTTCAGCAGTTCTGCAGCACAGACCCAGATTGCTCCTGAAATCTATCTATTATAATCTATAATATAATGTATTGCAGCCTGTTAAAATTAGGAAAAATACTCTTTAACATTCTCTGAATATGTTTTTTTTTTTTAAAGATTTTTGTTGATTATTTTTATTGTTCTAAATAATGCCCTAAATGGAAGTCAAATCAGTTGTATTGCATTGTATTTATTATGTAGCTACTTAATTCAGTAAAGTAAATTAGTCTCTACATGTAACATATGTGTATGAATGTGTGTATGCATAAATATTAAAAAAAAAAAAAAAAATTACAGGCCAGCATGATGTAATCACGTGAAACAGTTGGTGAGGGTTGAGAGATTGTGTTGAATGCGATTTGAATCGAAAAAAGATATATTAAAAGAACAAAATGAATGAAATTGCTATGAAATATTATGATTAAATAATCCTAAAATTCTGTACTGTAGGCTAATTGTCCACTTTTATCTTTTTGGTTATTCATCTCTGGGGTTAAAGAAGTAGCCTAGATCATTCTGTCTGCCTTATAGCCTCCTCTTCTGGTCACCAAAGACCATCACAGTGTAAAGGAGCAATGGGGAGAAGGATGTAAAGTTTACTTTATTTTCCCCCCATTGCAAAAAACAACAAACAAACAAACAAACAAACTTGTGACGTGCAAAGAATTGTTAGCCTACGGCATTTAAAAAAAAAAATAGCCTAAATAAATCAACCATTTGAGCTATGCTTTATTTGTTAAATTGTGTGAGCACATTTTATGAAAGATCTTTGTGTATTTTTTTTTACTATGAATATATGAAAAGATAAAGCTGTTATAATAAATACCAAATTAGTTACCTTTGCTTTGGCCTACCTGAAAATGGAAAACGATACAGACGATAGGCCTCCAGGCCGGCAGGGGGCGGTGTGCTTAGCAGACGTCCTGACTCCCGTTTGACGTCACGCACGCGGCAAAAACAAAAATGACGTACGCGCGGCTTCTCACCAAAGTGTAGATTTTATGTTTTGCCAATTTTAGTGACACAAATGCTATAATTTTCAGAAATACATAATTAAGAGGATATTTTTATTTAGCAGCCGTTGATTATTCGCGTACAGAAGGTGAGCATTTTTATGTTTATTATCGTTTCGCTAGAGCTTCAGTGCTGTAAAACTGTTAACGTTACTAATTTTTAAACGGTTTAAATTAAATATATATAACTTACGGTTGAGGTACAATTTAACAGTGAATCTGAGCGGTTATAATAAACTTCAAACGTAATGTTAATATTAATAAATTCAGATCTATGTTTGTGCATGTAACTTATGTAACTTACTTATTAAACAGCTATTAGCAAATCTCCTGTTTACACGTTAGCTAACTGTGTTTGAGTAAATCTGACATAACTTGAATGTAAACTAACTTATAGGTTGTTGTTTTTTTTGTCTGTGACTGTAACTTACAGTAGCATAGTAAAACAAAGTTTTGCTAATCAAAGACAATCTGCCATGTTCTTATACTTTATATATATAAAGTATATATATATATATACTTTAAAGCTTGTATGAGTGTTTTTGGTGGATGGCAGTTATTTGTTGTTATACTAAACTTATAGGTTGTTTTTTGTCTGTGATTGTACAGTACCATAGTAAAACAAAGTTTTGCTAATCAAAGACAATCTGCTATGTTCTTTTATGTGGATGGCAGTTATTTGTTATTATGAATGATAAAAATGAACTATAATGCCTGTTAAAATAATGATTTACAGGGTATTTTGGAAGAACATGGCCATGGATTCCGCAGAGACGAGATATGCCCATCTGCTGCAACCCCTGCGGGACCTCACCAAGAACTGGGACATTGACCTGGCCAGCCAGCTCGGAGAGTATCTTGAGGAGGTGAGAAAACACACTGAGATCAAGCACCGTCTCAGTGATTCAAATGTGCCTTTTCTATCCCAGAGTCTCATATTGTTGCTGTGGTTGACAGCTGGACCAGATGACCATATCATTTGATGGTGGGAAAACTATGATGAACTTTGCAGAAGCTGCACTTTTAATTCAAGGATCAACGTGCATCTATGGCAGAAAGGTAAATTCTGCTTTATGTGTGCAATACAGTAATTCATTTCACTAAACTATAAGTTTAGTGATTTTCAATCTGATAAATAATTTAAACAAGACATCTAGCCCTTGGATAGCTTAATATTGCAAGGAAATATTTAAGGTCTTATCACTAATTTATTTACTTAGTTACTTTATTTAATTATTTAATTTACCCATTACACACTATTTGGGAAATTTGGCATTTTTTATGTTGATTCGTGGTTGGAATTGGCTTTAATGTTATTTGATGCATTAACCAACGTTAACTAATGAAACCGTACTGTAAAAGGATTTAAGAGGACACTTTTTTTTCCTTTACAATTTTATTCTGAATATTTAGGTGGAGCTCCTTCACACTCTGGTGTTTCAAACATTGGACTACATATCTAACAAAAACAAGAAGTAGGTGTTCATGCTTTTGACCTCAAATTTCTGTTTATTCTCTTGAATTGGTTTGTCACATGCTATTTATGTTTATCTCAACAGACGTGATAAACAAAGTTCTTCTTCAGATGGAAACCAAGAAAAAGCCCATTCAGGCAATGAAGGAGATGATTGTGAGGTGTGTAAATGAGCATTAACACTTGTTACCCTAAACACAACATAACGTTTTATAAACCTGTGAGTAAAAATGTTTGTTTTTATGCAGTTTGATGAGATTGAGCAGGATGAGAATGTCAACTCTCAGAATATAACAATGAAAGATACAACAGAGGTGAGTTGGGTTTCACCCTGTCAAAGTTTTTGTTTCTACAATTTTATGGGTAAACTGAACATCCACATTATGCTTATTTTGTGTCTCTTGACTGGGTAATATTTAAATATGAGATATGCTTATGATTTGAAGTAATATCTTTAATTTTGTAAATGTTTTCCAGATTAAGTTGTTGTTTTGCTTAACTTGCATAGCAATTGGTTTTCTGGGTCTAATTATTCCTTATTCTTCTTTAGCCCGTTAAGATTATCCGTCTCCCTCCTGAGTCTCTCATTCCTGCCGAATCACATGAGAAACAGAAATACCCCCTTCTCAGGTAAAGACACTCTGACTGACCCACACAGACAAATAAAAAGTTTGCACACTTTTACACCATTCCATCTGTAGCATGATTACTCGTACAGCCCTGCAGTACCAATTCAGTAAAATATTCCTCTTCAGGAAAATATTGTCTGGCTCAGTTGCAGGAAATGATGGTTGTACTTAAAATAACTCAAATGTTTGTTAATCGTTATCCTCTAGTCTTAAAGGGGAGCTTCTTGGCAGCTGTAAGGATTTTCGGATTAATAATTTCACCTTGGATGAAGTGGGATTGATGCGTCTGGGCTCTTCCCACGCTCACTTCCTCAAGGAGGTTGCAGAAATCCAGCACAATTTCTCTGTACATGCACCTGTGCCCTTACAGACAGGTGAGGACACAGACTTGTGTGTGGCAATGTTTTACTTTGCATCATTCTTTATTTTACAAAAAAAAATACCTCTAATTGTCACAAAAATGCTAAGTAGCACAACTGTTATCGTAATTGATGATAATAATAAGAACTGCTTCTTGAACTGCAAATCTACATATTAGAATGTTTTCTGAAGGATCATGTGACACTAAAGACTGGAGTAATGATGATGAAAGTTCAGCTTTGCCATCACAGGAATAAATAACATTTAAAAATATATTAAAGGTATTTTAATTATAGCAATATTTCACTATATTACTGGTTTTACTGTATTTGATATCAAATAAATCAGCCTTGGTGGATAAGCATAAGAGACTCCTTTTAAAAATCATTTAAACATCTTACTGAACTGACTCCAAACTTTTGATGATGGTGTACATAAACCATATTTCAAGACTAATGAATTTGCACATGCTGGTCTATCTAATTAATATCATCTGGTGTTTAGAAGGGGTAGCTGAGGTTGATGGTGGTTACGATGAACAGGATTGTGGCGCTGAAGTTCTTCCTCCACTGGAAGATCATGGGATGGAGGTGGAGTCTGAAGAGTGGGTAGAAAGGCATCAGGTAACACTTTGTGATTGAATGTTGAAATTAGTTATGTTTGGCATTCAAGAAAAGCTCTGTTCAGTGTAAAGTATTTTTCCCTTTTATTTGTTCTAGGGCCAGAGTGAGGGGAGGATGCTGAGACCGAGACCTGAAGTACAGCCAATTTCAGTGGAACCTAAGCAACTCAAGGTATAGTTTACTGCACTCTCTTTTAATCACACTTACACTTAATCAAATAGCCACACATGTAGTTCTTGTTAAATTATCCTTTCATGATGTTGCATAATCATAGCCTCACAAAACAATTGCATGTGCATATTTTAGGAAAGTGTGGACCCTTGGAAATGGCATGACTCATATGCTGTGTTTGGGGAGGACAAACCTCTTAAAATAGGTGTGTGCTCAATATGATGTCCCTCAGGATAGGTGTATTGACCTAAAAATAACTTTTCAATTTGACATTTTGCTGTTTGGAGATTTATTTTCTTATCTGCTCTCTAGGCAAGTGTTATAAAGTGCCAGCAGGTCTTGAAGAGTCTGGAAAAAGAAAGAGGAAGGGTCCCTCAAAACTGCAGGACTTTGGCAGCTGGTACTCTAAAGCTTGTAAGTTATTTTTTTCAGGCTGGTGATGTGAAAAGGAATGGGCTACATATTTGTCTTGTGAAATTGAATCTAAGAGAAGTTGTTATTTTCTTTTACAGTTGAGACTGCGGATCGCAAGCTTAAGAATGGACCTACTTATCCTGGTAACAATCTGAAGCGTTGTGCTTTATAAATATTTTTTTATATATTGTTGTAATATATATATATATATATATATATATATATATATATATATATATATTATTATATTTTTTTTATTGCAGACCTTAATTACATCTTTGTGAGTAAAATGGGTCAGCGTCTGAAAGTACAGAAGCAGATTCTCAGGAAAAGGGTAAGTGCAATTTTGTGTTTGTGCGTGCGTGATGTGGATTTCATTGAAAAATATTTCTATGAAATTAATACTTTAATTTATTAAGGATGCATTAAATTGATAAATGTGACTGTAAAGACATTTATAATGTTAAAAAGATTTATATTTCAAATAGATGCTGTTCTTTTGATTTGTCCTTTTCATCAAAAATCCTGAAGAAAAATTAATCACAGTTTCTACAAAAAGATAAAGCAGCACAGCTATTTTCAACATTGATTAGAATAAGAAATGTTTATTGAACACAAAATCTGCATTTTAGATTGATTTCTGAAGGGTCATGTGACTCTAGAGTAATGCCTGCTGAAAATACAGCTTTGCCATCATAGGAATAAATTACACTTTATAATATATTTGTATAGAAAACTGTTAATAATAATATTGTGAAATAGTATTACAAGGAACTGTTTTCCATACTAATATATTTTATAGTGTAATTAATTCCTATCTTTTTGTTTGTACTGTATTTTATATATATCGAATATGTTAAGCCTTGAGACTTTTTTTCAAAATAATTTACAAAATCTTACCAATTTTAACATGGGTGTATTGTGATGTGTCATGTAACCCAAGGTATGTTCTATTTAGGGTGTTTTTGTCTGCGATGAGGAGTTAAAGAAAACTTACTTGGAACCAGAGAATCTTGAGAACCAGGTCGAGGTGGTCCGGCATCCAGATATAGAGGGTGAGATGCACATACTAGCATGCATGCATTTAAAATCATCCAAGCCTACATTTTTATTCCCCTTCACTGCTAAGTATTTGAAATAGATCATAAAACTGTTGTTTAAAAAGTACCAAACATAAACATTTTGTGGGATTCCTTAAATCACATTCAGGTGAGGACTTTTCCGATCAGGAACATGACGACTTTGTTGATGAACTTGAACCTGCGCATCACCTCGGAGAACAGGAGCAAATTTTCCAAGACTTGCATATGAGCCGGATGAGTTATGAAGATCTGGTCAAGAAGAGTGTGGTATAAGAGCTTACAACCGATTTCCATCAGAATAATGATACATTAATTGGACAGTGGTTGTATATCCATTCTGATTTCTCTGTATGTAGGATCTGTTTCTGGTGAACTCTCAGAAGTATGCGCAGGAGACGGCGTTGTCTCGAAGAGTCAAAGAGTGGGAGGATGGGATCAACCCTCATCTTGCTGCCCAGGTAATGTGGCATGATGTGACCGATTCTAATGTTTCCAAAAATGTACAGCATAAAGAATAATGAATATAGAGAAAAACCGCTTGCAATTTTTGTGTACAGGAGACCCGTCTTGCTTTTGACATCCATGAGTATGGAGACAGAATTGTCCAGGCACTCTCTAGCGTGGGGATGAAAAAATCATTTGCTTTCCTTGTCGAAGGCAAGGAGAACACAGAAGCCTGCAGATACATGTTGGCTGCGCTACAGCTGGTGGGTAAAGCTGGTACACAGAGAGCAATGCCTGCTGGTACTAACCAGTGAGGCCACGAGTTAACTAAAACAAGTGAATGAATTAGTAAATCGTGGTCATTATTTACTAATAATAGAGCACAAATTCTTAATTTGTGGGAATTCATTCTTTTTCTGCATGTAATGAGCAGGGCTCTATACATTTAAGATGACATCTTTTTAAAGCAAAAATGTCAGTTTATGAACTAACGCTACTTTTCTATTACAGGCCAATGATTACACAGTGGAGATTGACAAGAAGGAGGGACTTGAAGACAGTGTAGATACAATGGAACTCACATTACTGACTACACAAAGAGCTCATGAACGTCTCAAAACCTACAACGCACCTTCTGCTACAGATATTCCCTGACCTTTTACTTTTGTTTATTGCTTGTCGTCTCTTCCCTGTGGTCCAAAACAGAAGCTCTTTATCACAGACAACATCAAAGAGATACAAATCACACAAAGACTTTCTATGCTTTTCTATTCTAGGCATTTTGGTCTCGTAATGGGAACACGCAGCACTGCTCTTGCATTTTCAATTTGGTCTTTAAACACGCATGGATGAATCAGAGTGACGAGATGTGATTCAATTATGTGTAATATTATGATAAAAGTCTGTCCAAGTGTCTATTTCTATGCATTTTCTGGACACTTAATCTCCAAGTAAACTGTTTTTAAAGTTTCCATCTATTATAATTTTGTTTTATTTCAATTATAAAAAACTATTTTTAACAGTTTTATTTACTTACATTTAATTATGCAAATAAAAAACTAGGATGCGGTTGATCATTCTTGTGAAATAGAGCTTTATTGTGCAAATGCATATTTCCCCTCAGCTTAATCTGGAAATAATTTAACATATTTTTTCATGTGATTGCGTATACTCTCAGCGATCTGGGCATCATTTTTCATTCTATTGTAGTAGTCCAGGAAGAGTCCATCTGGATTTACCAGGTAGATGAGGATGGTGTGGTCCACAATGTAATCACCATCATCATCTTTAGGACCAGCGCTGGCATAGACCCTATAATCCCGTCCTGCATGCTTCACTTCCTCCGCAGTGCCCGTCAATCCAACCAGCCGTGGATGGAAATCTTTCACGTACTTGGCCATAGCAGCCACGTCATCTCTCTCAGGGTCAACAGTGATAAAAAGTGGCTGGACAGGGGGCAGGCTAGGGTCTTTATCCAGAATATGCACCACATTGGTCATTTTATCCAGCTCGTCAGGGCATATATCTGGGCAGTGGGTGAAGCCAAAGTACAAGAGAACCCATTGGCCCAGGAAGTCGCGTTTGCTCCTGCGCTGTCCTGTGTGATCCAAAAGATGGTAGTCTCCCTGTCCAACAGCCACTTTCCTCAACTGCTCCAGTCTCTGCATCTGGATCCTCTGTTCTTTCTCCCGGTACACATACCACCAGGTACCAATAAGACCACCTCCGAAAAGCAGCGTCACAACCAAACGTGTACGCAGCTTGATGGACCCGGAGTTTGTAGTTTTAGAGGAGTCTTGAGAGTAAAAAGCTCTATGTTCTCCAAATAAAGGTGGTAGACGGTAGTGTGGTGGAGGGAAACATTGAGCTGATGTTCTAAAGAGGGACTGGGTCTTTTTGAGAGCTCTACATGACGGGGACATGGCCTTCGGCATATGACGTGAAAGTTTAGTTATTTCTCTTGTTGTTGATCGCAGGATGCCCCATGACAACACATGCCATTTGAGTCCTCTGATTCTCAACATCCTCGGAACAACTGATGGAGACAAAAGAAAAAAGAGATAAACTGTGATTTTAATCAAGGTTCTAAATCCTGCAGATCTGCCTTCCTACAGACGACATACTTTGTGAAAAGTATGTAAAAATACCTACATCAGGTGTTTATTTAGGGTTTGAACTAAACTCTACAGGACTATAACAAAACCCCTACACCAGTATGTATTAGGAAAAAATACAATTGTCCAAAACCCCATCGTAATCTCTTTATTCACCGTACGTTAGACACTGGAACAATGCTTAGTTATTTATCTGTGTAAGAACCAATACATAAATAAACAATTTAAAAATAATATATATTTATAATACTGTTAATTGCATTTTATCTTGTTTTGTTATACTAAATAGACGGTATAAAAGGATTTTAAACGTTCACTTAAATAAATGTATTCCATCATGTCAATGACAATATTAGCAAGCTAGCTCTCTGAGGAAAAAAAACACTTTAAAACACTATCTTTGGTCGGTGGAAATACCGTAATCGTGTTATATAAGCAAAATCACGGTTAAAATACGTTTAAATGTTACTAACCCAGCAGTTACAGTAGTCTGTCCTCACAAGATAGAAGCTTGAGCTCAGCTGCGCATGCGACATCGTGTACATTGTGCAACATTCTGCGTGACACTTGTGTTTCGAGGTCGCAGATTCGTTTAAGGCATAAATTACTCCTTAACAAATATTAATATTTTACATATTATGTTATTTAGCAATATTTGTTACACACACACACACACACACACTGATAGATTCGTCATTAAAACGGTTGCCGAAAAGCCACTAAATGGCAGGTAAGTTGATTATTATTATTTTTTAGTTGAGTGGAAATGTATAAAATTTGAAATGTTAATTTATTTACTATTATGTTTTAGAAATTGTAGAGTATATACACTGCTTTACATCCAACACACAAGAAAAACAAACACAAATGGACTACATATTTTTTTCTTGAGAATCTAAAAGTCGTTATTCCTTTGAAACTGCGAATCGCAAGCTTAAAGGGTTAGTTCACCCAAAAATGAAAATTAAGTCATTAATTGAAACCCCTGTAAACACACACACACAGGTAGCCTATCTGACGTGAAACCCCTGTAAACACACACACAGGTATCTGACGTGAAGCCCCTGTAAACACACACACAGGTATCTGACGTGAAGCCCCTGTAAACACACACACACACAGGTATCTGACGTGAAGCCCATGTAAACACACACACAGGTATCTGACGTGAAGCCCCTGTAAACACACACACACACAGGTATCTGACGTGAAGCCCATGTAAACACACACACAGGTATCTGACGTGAAGCCCCTGTAAACACACACACAGGTATCTGCCGTGAAACCCCTGTAAACACACACAGGTATTTGATGCACATGTACAGTTAGGACAGGTATCGCATGAAACCCCTGTAAACACACACAGGTATTTGATGCACATGTACAGTTAGGACAGGTATCGCATGAAACCCCTGTAAACACACACACACAGGTATTTGATGCACATGTACAGTTAGGACAGGTATCGCATGAAACCCCTGAAAACACACACAGGTATCTGATGCACATGTACAGTTAGGACAGGTATCTCATGAAACCCCTGTAAACACACACACACAGGTATCTGATGCACATGTACAGTTAGGACAGGTATCGCATGAAACCCCTGTAAACACACACACACACAGGTATTTGATGCACATGTACAGTTAGGACAGGTATCTCATGAAACCCCTGTAAACACACACACACAGGTATCTGATGCACATGTACAGTTAGGACAGGTATCGCATGAAACCCCTGTAAACACACACACACACAGGTATTTGATGCACATGTACAGTTAGGACAGGTATCTCATGAAACCCCTGTAAACACACACACACAGGTATTTGATGCACATGTACAGTTAGGACAGGTATCTCATGAAACCCCTGTAAACACACACACACAGGTATCTGATGCACATGTACAGTTAGGACAGGTATCGCATGAAACCCCTGTAAACACACACACACAGGTATTTGATGCACATGTACAGTTAGGACAGGTATCTCATGAAACCCCTGTAAACACACACACACAGGTATCTGATGCACATGTACAGTTAGGACAGGTATCGCATGAAACCCCTGTAAACACACACAGGTATTTGATGCACATGTACAGTTAGGACAGGTATCGCATGAAACCCCTGTAAACACACACACACAGGTATTTGATGCACATGTACAGTTAGGACAGGTATCTCATGAAACCCCTGTAAACACACACACACAGGTATCTGATGCACATGTACAGTTAGGACAGGTATCGCATGAAACCCCTGTAAACACACACACACAGGTATCTGATGCACATGTACAGTTAGGACAGGTATCTGACGTGAAACCCCTGTAAACACACACACAGGTATTTGATGCACATGTACAGTTAGGACAGGTATCGCATGAAACCCCTGTAAACACACACAGGTATTTGATGCACATGTACAGTTAGGACAGGTATCGCATGAAACCCCTGTAAACACACACACACAGGTATCTGATGCACATGTACAGTTAGGACAGGTATCGCATGAAACCCCTGTAAACACACACACACAGGTATCTGATGCACATGTACAGTTAGGACAGGTATCGCATGAAACCCCTGTAAACACACACACAGGTATTTGATGCACATGTACAGTTAGGACAGGTATCGCATGAAACCCCTGTAAACACACACACACAGGTATTTGATGCACATGTACAGTTAGGACAGGTATCGCATGAAACCTCTGTAAACACACACAGGTATCTGATGCACATGTACAGTTAGGACAGGTATCGCATGAAACCCCTGTAAACACACACACAGGTATTTGATGCACATGTACAGTTAGGACAGGTATCGCATGAAACCCCTGTAAACACACACAGGTATCTGATGCACATGTACAGTTAGGACAGGTATCGCATGAAACCCCTGTAAACACACACACAGGTATTTGATGTGCATGTACAGTTAGGACAGGTATCGCATGAAACCTCTGTAAACACACACAGGTATCTGATGCACATGTACAGTTAGGACAGGTATCGCATGAAACCCCTGTAAACACACACACAGGTATTTGATGCACATGTACAGTTAGGACAGGTATCGCATGAAACCCCTGTAAACACACACACACAGGTATTTGATGCACATGTACAGTTAGGACAGGTATCGCATGAAGCCCCTGAAAACACACACACACAGGTATCTGATGCACATGTACAGTTAGGACAGGTATTGCATGAAACCCCTGTAAACACACACACAGGTATCTGATGTGCATGTACAGTTAGGACAGGTATCGCATGAAACCCCTGTAAACACACACACAGGTATCTGATGCAGATGTACAGTTAGGACAGGTATCGCATGAAACCCCTGTAAACACACACACACAGGTATCTGATGCAGATGTACAGTTAGGACAGGTATTGCATGAAACCCCTGTAAACACACACACAGGTATTTGATGCACATGTACAGTTAGGACAGGTATCGCATGAAACCCCTGTAAACACACACACACAGGTATCTGATGCAGATGTACAGTTAGGACAGGTATTGCATGAAACCCCTGTAAACACACACACAGGTATTTGATGCACATGTACAGTTAGGACAGGTATTGCATGAAACCCCTGTAAACACACACACAGGTATCTGATGTGCATGTACAGTTAGGACAGTTATCGCATGAAACCCCTGTAAACACACACAGGTATTTGATGCACATGTACAGTTAGGACAGGTATCGCATGAAACCCCTGTAAACACACACACAGGTATCTGATGCACATGTACAGTTAGGACAGGTATCTCATGAAACCCCTGTAAACACACACACAGGTATTTGATGCACATGTACAGTTAGGACAGGTATCGCATGAAACCCCTGTAAACACACACACAGGTATCTGATGCACATGTACAGTTAGGACAGGTATCTGACGTGAAACCCCTGTAAACACACACACACAGGTATTTGATGCACATGTACAGTTAGGACAGGTATCGCATGAAACCCCTGTAAACACACACAGGTATCTGATGCACATGTACAGTTAGGACAGGTATCGCATGAAACCCCTGTAAACACACACACAGGTATCTGATGCACATGTACAGTTAGGACAGGTATCGCATGAAACCCCTGTAAACACACACACAGGTATCTGATGCACATGTACAGTTAGGACAGGTATCGCATGAAACCCCTGTAAACACACACACAGGTATCTGATGCACATGTACAGTTAGGACAGGTATCTGACGTGAAACCCCTGTAAACACACACACACAGGTATCTGATGCACATGTACAGTTAGGACAGGTATCGCATGAAACCCCTGTAAACACACACACAGGTATCTGATGCACATGTACAGTTAGGACAGGTATCTCATGAAACCCCTGTAAACACACACACAGGTATTTGATGCACATGTACAGTTAGGACAGGTATCGCATGAAACCCCTGTAAACACACACACACAGGTATCTGATGCACATGTACAGTTAGGACAGGTATCGCATGAAACCCCTGTAAACACACACACAGGTATCTGATGCACATGTACAGTTAGGACAGGTATCTGACGTGAAACCCCTGTAAACACACACACACAGGTATCTGATGTGCATGTACAGTTAGGACAGGTATCGCATGAAACCCCTGTAAACACACACACAGGTATCTGATGCAGATGTACAGTTAGGACAGGTATCGCATGAAACCCCTGTAAACACACACACACAGGTATTTGATGCACATGTACAGTTAGGACAGGTATCTCATGAAACCCCTGTAAACACACACACACAGGTATCTGATGCAGATGTACAGTTAGGACAGGTATTGCATGAAACCCCTGTAAACACACACACAGGTATTTGATGCACATGTACAGTTAGGACAGGTATCGCATGAAACCCCTGTAAACACACACACAGGTATCTGATGTGCATGTACAGTTAGGACAGGTATTGCATGAAACCCCTGTAAACACACACACAGGTATCTGATGTGCATGTACAGTTAGGACAGTTATCGCATGAAACCCCTGTAAACACACACACAGGTATTTGATGCACATGTACAGTTAGGACAGGTATCGCATGAAACCCCTGTAAACACACACACAGGTATTTGATGCACATGTACAGTTAGGACAGGTATCGCATGAAACCCCTGTAAACACACACACACAGGTATCTGATGCACATGTACAGTTAGGACAGGTATTGCATGAAACCCCTGTAAACACACACACAGGTATTTGATGCACATGTACAGTTAGGACAGGTATCGCATGAAACCCCTGTAAACACACACACACAGGTATCTGTTAGTTATAAACACACACACAGGTATCTGTTAGTTAAAGTCCAACACTTTATCAACTGAGCCACTGAATCTCTTGAGCTCAAGGGTGTATTTAATGTGGTTTTATTGCGTTTGGTTTTATTTGTTGGAAAAACAAATATAGAAATATAATTTGACACAAGAGGGCAGTATAGCCCTATTTATGGTTTGAGTTTAAACTAAACCGTGACATCTACACGTTTTCCAAAGTGGACCAACGTCATTATTTCACGTC